GTGGTTCAGGTTCAGGTTCAGGTTCAGTTCAGGTTCATTGAACCTAAATTTGAACTGAACTGAACCTAGGAACCCTAAGTCACTCAGTATGATATACTGTTGCAAATTCACTTCTTTCAATAACTTTAAATTCGTTATATAGAATTCAAAATATTAGTGAATATTGCTTTTAAATTATCATCAATATCTAAACTATACATTATTGCTTATAGAGGTTCTGTCATTAGATTTAATAATTTGATAAATAAATATATTTAATCAAAATTAGTATTTGTTTTCATGCTTTAATCAATTTTTTTTTAATAATTATAGTTATTAAAAAAGCTTATTACAGTATATTTGTCAAATTTAATTAATTTTTGTTTTCAAATTAAGTTTTGGAGACAAAATTTATTATTGATTTTTTAATATTGAACCCCAAAAAAAGTATTAACATTCTGATCTTATAATAACAATGTGTCTAACTCATTTTTTCCATAGGCTAACCCAGTGCTAGGAAATTGGACAATTTTGGTTTTTGGATACCTTGTCCAAAACCTGTCCAAAACCTTTCCAAAATCAAATTTAATTAGTTTTGGACAAAATTATATATATATAAGGTAAAATCTAAATAGTGCCCCCATGCACATTGTGCCTTCTAAGTTTTAATAGCGAACTAATACAAAGATTAACATTAGGGTTAGGGTTAAAGTTAGAGGTTAGGGTTGGCTAAGTGTTTTTTTAGATAAGGATCATTTTTTCTTAGTTACACAACAGAGTTACCCTAGTAAAATTTTGAGATCTTAGCAATTTTTGACAATTTTCATAGTAAGGGACACAATGTGCATAGAGCACCATCTAGTCCAGTTCTATATATAATATATTTAATAATTTTTAGTCAATTTTATTTTAATCTGGATCAAAGTGATTTGTCACATAACCTATATTTATATTATATAATACAAAGGCCAATCAGAAGAGATTTTGTAATTTTAAAAATCACATAACATTCTATTTAGAATTGGCCAATATAATTGCAAATAATATAATTAGCAAATTTAAATAAAAAAACAGTTTTTTATCAAATATAATTATTTTATTATATTAACCTTTTAATTATACTTTTAATAAAAGTTATAAAGAAGGTTATTCTGATTCTAATAATAGTAAAAATATAAATTTGGTCTGGTTAATCATGAGATATATGTAAAAAAAAAATTTTATAATTTTTAAAGTTTCTTTAAAATTTTTAAAAAAATTTAAAAAAACTTTAAAAAAATTATGAATATATTTTTAAATATATCCCATGATTCACCAGACTAATTTATACATTTTTACCGTTATTAGGATTGGGATAATCTTCTTTACAACTTTTACTAGAAGCACAAGTATATTGCTGATTTCAAAATATTTTAAATAGTTTTAAATAGTTTTGGACAAATTTGAACAGTTTTAGACAGTTTTGGACATGACCAATTCCCAGCACTGGGCTAACCCATCTTCCCACTCTTTGACGCATTTCATTAGGCATATAAATTTATTATAATGACACACCTTAACCTGGGAAGCATTGACTATCTTAGCCAAAATTACTATTTACGCATTAGCAGTTAAATTTTTTTAAATTTTGGGTATTTACAAATGCGACGTAATGTATATATGCTATAATAGAAAAGAATGTGGGCTGCCATCAATAGAAATCAGGCAGATTGACATTTTTAAAAAAATCTATACCTCAACTTTTACAGTTAATATCTCGATGAATTTTGAAGCTAGTTTGATAATTTAATATTCGAAAGAAGATTAAGTTCTAAGATTTCTTTGAATATTGAATCATCAAGATAGCTTCAAAATTCATCGAGGTATGAGCTGTGAAAGTTGAGGTATGAATTTTTTTTAAAATGTCATCTGTCTGATTTCTATTAACGGCAGCCCATGTAGTTACTTACATATGGGGAATGGACTAGGAAAACCTATCTTCACAACTAATGCCGAAGGCAGGTTTTCCTAGCCCATTCCCCATATGGAGTCATTCATTGGCCTTTTGTAAGTCTCTTATTGTTCCAATTCCATTTCAATAAAATTACCCCATACGATAAATTCCGTCAGTATAGCACATCTCAGCATATTTTTGATAATAAACAAATGCCTTATGATCATCTCTTTCGACTCTAAATCCATTAAAATCAAGGTTAAATATTTCATAAATGTACCCCTTTCTGTTGGTTTTATAATAAATGTATACCTTATGCCCACCCTTTTCAACTCCAATTCTTTTAATATAAAAAGCTCCAAACATGTCATCCCATCAGTACCTCCCATATCAACGAACTTCTGATAATGAATGAACGTATTATGATCGTAATCTTCTTGATCACCATCGCCCATTTTAACAACGATTGCTTTTCGTTAATATTGTGAATTTCTGTACTGCTATATAAACAATCTACTGTACATTTCAGCATTTATTACTGTAATTAATGTTACTGAATTTTTTATAAACATTTAAAAAAATCCATATATAGTAAATATAGAAAATTTTTTAAAAATTTGTAGAATCTGACCCGGTTGGGTTATGATTAAGTTTGTATAGCTTTATGTAGCAAGTATAAAAATTTTTTAAATTTTATTATTTATAAAGGATTTAACTAATTTTAACCCGGCTTAAAATTATAAAATTTTCTACCCATAATTTATTATTAATTTTTACTCAAATTTTAAAATTAAAATTAGAATTAATATTAAAATTGAGTTAAGATTAGCTGTTAGGGTTAGGGGTAAAGTTAAAGCTAAAACAGGTTTTCATAGAGCCAATTATTTTTAGTTAATGCATCAAACGTAATTTTTAAGCTGTTTTTGCTATAATAAAAGGGTGGTTATGTTAACCAGAGAGCAAATTAGCAATAACCATTTATAAATACAGCATGTGCAACTTTAAGCATCTTTAAGAATGCCCATATCTTTCTTTCTTGCAATTATTTTTTTGTGTTTAACATATATTTCGCCACATCGTTCTTTCATTTCATTTCCAATTTCTTCTACCAAGCGATCATATTCTTCAAATGAAATTCTCATAATAGGAGCAATAAATTCTTTCAAAAGTTTTATATAATATGAAAAAATTTCATAAGAAAACTCTCCAAAATAATCGTTTCCAGCAGATAAGTCTATTGTTCGAGATGATATAAATTCGGTTTTTCCAATCATTTGAAGGTGATCTTCTAAGTTTAATATTAGATCAGGGTTAAATCCATATTTCTCAGACCACGAAATGACTAAAAAAGTTTATGAATTAATTGAGAAAATAATTCTAAATATATTTTTTAAAAAATCGACAAACATACTTGCGTTATCTAATCGTGTGAGGGCCGGCCCACGAACAGATTGATAAATACGAACTGATTGCCCAACCTAATATTGATAATTTTTCAGTTTTTTGAATACTATTAAATCGCAAAGTTAAAAAGAAAAAGCACCCTTCTTACTTCTAACCAACCACCTGGTTTTAATACTCTAAGTGCCTCAAATAAAAATCCTTGAAAATTATCCTTTGTAAAAAAAATTGGGTTATTTCTAGAAAAAATATAATCAAATTCATTATCAGGAAATGGTAGTTTTTGATTAATATCACAATTAAGAAATGTAATATTTTTAATAGAATTTTTCGTGGTAAAATCAACTGCGTAGAACTTCGAATTTGGATACTCAACGGCAGCCTAATTTAATGTAAAATTAGTTACTATAGTATTACTCAAAGTTATCAAGTTCATAGAATGGAAATAAGTTAAATTACTTCAATGGTCCAAATGCCTGCCCCACAACTTTTTGAGAATTGATACAAATAAGATAATTTTAAATTATTAGAAGTTTACAGAAAATAATAATATTCAAATAAACAAGAAATTCTTTTACCCAAATTCTAATACTTTAGCACCAGTTCGCAGTTTTTCATGAATTGGAGCGCCTATACTGCCATTGAACGCATGATTAAAAAGTTGATGAACGTAAAATTCAAGGTTTTCAATTTCATTTAGATCCTTAATTGGTGTATAAAATATTTTTTTATTTGTAGTTTTATGCTTTTTAATATGTGAATAATGATTCATCAGGGAAATTTTAGCTCTTTATTATTTCATGAAGATGAAAATAAATAACCCATTGCATTTTATTTATTCTTAAAACTCAGTGCGATTACAAAATAAGTAGCTGCGCGACATTGTCGCGCTAAACCAGGAACGGATGAATATAAGCTTAATTTAGAAAATTTTGAACAAATCAAATACAGAATATATAGTTATATATATTTTTGAATTCAGATAAATAAATCGAGAACGTAACTAAATTCAGCATAACTATATTGATATGAAACACTATAATTTAAACAAACAAGGTTTTTAGATGTATATAGTATAGAGTGTAAAATACCTCTTTAAAAGCGTTTTATATTAATTGTCTAATGCTAACCCTAATAATACATAACGCCTGAATAGATATTAAAAATAAGGACATTTTACACCCCATACCGTACAGGTCTGGTCATTCTAATCTGCATGATTGGAAATGTTCTTTGCAGATGATTATTATACAGAGAACTAATGTGGATAAGAAGCTAAATGAGAGGTAAACAACTCATATTAAATACTTAGATCAATTAAACCAATAAATAATCGCTAAACTTAGAGACTAGGGTGCTCTCAATGTGATTAGCTAGCTACTGAGATCGTGCATAGAGTGCTACGATTAATTGGATCTCCTTTAGTATAGCTGGGCGATATAGAAATATTATAAGATTATAATATAAAAAACTCTAACCCTAACTCTATTCTAACTCTAATTTAAACTATAACCCTCACCCTAACTCTAACTATTTATAAATTTGCTTAAATTAACTTAAATAGTTATTATAACCTTATAATATCGCAATGCGATAATAAAATTTGGCTAATCAGAATAGAGTTGGCCTCTAAACGAAACCCGCCTTTCGGGAAGGTTCTAATCCGAAACTAGTTTCGAGTTTTTTAAAAAAATCGAAAACTCCAAAACTATAATCCGAAACTCAGAAACCCTAGTTGACCAATCAGGATGCATGATCAAGTGTAACGATTTTTAAAAAATCACTTCTAACTCTGAATATGTCTATAAAACTGCTTTTTTATCCTAACGAAAAAAATTACTTGCGAAATTTAAAAGATCTCCCTACCCGAATCCTAACCTAAGCTTTGTTGTTTGCTTTGTTTTAATTTAATTATAGGGTGATGATGTGTCACGATGAATAATTTTAAAAAATTTTTAAATTTTTTTTTTCATACAAGAATAAAAGTTTTATATAAATGAATTTTACAGCTGTACACAAATTCTAGGACAACGAAAAATTTCTGATGACCGAATTCAATAAGTTTCTGAGTTCAGCTGAAGTCATTTACCTATTGATTTCGATTCTGTAACTTATCAAATTCGGTCATCAGAAAATTTGTTGCCCCAGAATTTATGAGAACAGCTATAACTTTTCTAAAAAAGTTACTTGGCCAGGTAATGAAAAGCAATTTTATTTGTTTGCATGGCCTACACTGGTGATCTTAAATAATGCAGCAAAAAAAAAAAATCATTAGATCGAATTATCTCGCACAATTCCACGTGTATCCTTTTGTTTTTTTGTTTTTTTTATTTGTGAATGGCATCACTGTTTACGAGTAGAAATTTATTAAACATCAATACTGCCAATGCAAAAATAATCATGTGTGTGTTATGAAACACATGATGCATTATTTTTGCTTGTTTTTGCCAAAGATCAGATGGCTTATGTGTACTATATAACACATTTTTATAAATAAATTTTTTTGTCTGATTTTGCATCTTGTACAGTGTTAGAATTAATTGAAAATCAAATTGTCAAAAAAAAAAACTATACCACTCTTGCCCAAAAGGCACAAGGGCTATAGAGAACCACAAAGAACTCTGATGCAACTTATATGTTACCAAAAAAGGAAATTTTGTATAGAAAATCATCAACATTGCTTTTTTACATAGTAAGTTTTTTTTAAATTTTGCTCTATTTTATATATCTATTTGGTCAAATTTATATGAACTTTATACAAACTTAGATCTAAGTTATATCAGAGATCTTTGGGTCCTGGCTATAGGCTGAACTTGCCATATTGCCTCTTTTACTATCTTCTGTATCAAAAAAAGATAGCTTGAGAACTGCACACTTGAAGATTTAGGAAGGGTTGGTCACCTACCTTTGGTGGGTAAACCAACCCAAAGAAAGATTGTTAACTTAATTACCTTTTAATGCTGCTCTATAGCTGCACAGGTAGTTTCCCACCTAAAAAAAAGAAAAACCTTAAAGTTTTGGCTTTTACTATTTGTCATATATTCTAAAAACACAGTTTAGTTTTGGGAATTAAGTGAAAAAAACTATTCCTAAGCACTGGTTATCAAAAAGCATAGCTTGATTTTTGCAAAAAACGTGAAAACTGGTTTGTTAAAGAATACTTAAAGGTAATTTGTTCAGACAAATCATAGTTTCAAATTTTTGGGTCAGATAGGAAGCAGTATTACTGAAAGCATTCTGAAAAACTGTTAAACCACTTTCACATACAATTAAAAGTGAAACATGGAGATGGTTCCATTATAATCTGAGGTTGCTTTATATTCTGTGACATTAAAGAGTTTTGTAAAATTGATAGTATGATGGATGGTGAATTGTACTGGCTGATACTTTGTGATGACCTTCTGGAAACCATAAAGAATCATGAATTTAGGATGTGGGATATAATTTTTTAGCAAGATAGTGCCTCTTGCCATACTGCAATCTTAACCAAACATTGGTTTAAAAGGAATGGGATAGAACCTTCAAGTGGCCTCCCTCATCTCCTGATCTCAATCCGATCAAACACCTCCCTTGCTAGTAGTACAAATCAAAAGTTGAAAAATCGATTAGTTGATCAAGTTCCATTGACAGTCCATGTCCATGTCGGTGGTCTATCTCTAACCATACCATACTAAGTAACGTACCTTTGGGTCACCCCGCGTGACTCATGAATACAACTATTTATTGTACGTACATATGTATGTATATCTGATATTATAAAAATATAAATAGTCTATAGTTTTAAATTGATCAACAAAAAAATGATTTCAAAATGGATTCTGAGATTGTTATCTCGTATAATGATAAAAATTGCTTATTACCAATTCTCCAATTAGCGTTATTAAGAAATATGGATATGATAATTTCATATCGTTGTTGAAAAATGACTAGCAAATGTAAAGATATACTTTAAAAATATAACAAACTTATTAGTATGAGTTAACAAAAATTAATCCATCTGCTGAAACTGATCAATCATATTATATGATAGATAAAACATTAAGAGAAGTAGCAATGTACAGTATTTTAGACAAGATATTATTTTTAAATTATTAGATCAAAAATTTCTGGAGATATATGAAGAAGAACTTGAGAATACTAATGATATTTGTGAAGACAATAATAATGGCATCTATGAAACTAATAATATTGCTAATGATGAAGATATATGAAGATAATAATAATGATGTCTACAATACTAATAATGTTAATAATGATGAAGATACCGACGAAGATAATATTTATTGTGATAGTAATCTTGTTACTAGAAAAATGGATTTTGAAATAGGCTCTAAAATTGTTATCTCATATGAGGATAAAGAATTGCTTATTTCCAATTTTCAATTGATGTTGTTAAGAAATATGGAAATGATGAATTTCATATCATTATTGAAAAACGACCAGCAAATGTAAAGATCTACTTTAAGCAAAATAACAGTTCTATTAGAATTATTTCTGATTTTTTTTATGTAAACGTTCCAAATCGGAATTAAATGTTGATTAGTTACCAAAAATTAGCCCATTTGTTTAAACTGCATATTATATGATAGATAAAACTTTAAGAAAAGTAGTAATGAATTTTAAAAAAATACTATTTTTAAATTATTAGATCGAAAATTTCTGGAGGTATGCAAAGAAGAAATTCACAAAAATGTAAATAATAGCACCTATAGTAGGAATAATGTTAATACTGATAAAGATACTGATGGTATTTATGATTATAATAACGGTATTTATGATACCAATAATAACATCAATAATGACGAAGATAACGATGATATTCATAAAAATAATAATAACAACGCCTAAAATACTGAAGATAGAGAAGATCAATGTAATTCTTTTAATGGATGAATCTGATGACAATGATGATATTTATTGCGATTGCGATCTTCTTGCTGCTAGAAATATGATTAAAAGATAAAGCAGCAATTATGGGAAATATTATTATTGCTGTCCTAATGATCAAAATGGTCAATGCGGATTCTTTGAATAGGCTGATTATGATATTATAAATTAAACAAGGTACTTGGAAATATACTAAGGGAGCTTGATACGGTATGTGTTGAGGTTTAAATAATTAAATAAAATTTTAAATAATGTTTTTACAAATTTATGATAAACTATAAAAACTCGTGATATTTAATTTATTTAATAATAAATGAGTGCCTTACGTTCATTTTTATCAACACCAATTTCACTTCGTAACAATATCCAACTTCCCATATCGACTAATTTTTGATAATAAATGAATGTCTTATGTTCAACTCCAATTCCATTGTAATAATAGATTTTTTTGATAATAAGTGAATGCTTTATGTTCGTAATTTTCATCTCCAATTCTATTTTCATAACAATGCCCAACATTTTTTGTTCTGATAGCGTTTCCCATCTCTGCTGATTTTTGATAATAAATGAATGCCTTATGTTCCCTTTTCAACTCCATTTCCATTCTAACAATATCCAACGCCAAATGTTCCGATAGAGTATTCATCTCTGCTGATTTTTGACAACAAATGTATGCCTTTCGACTTTAATTCCTTTAAATAAAAAAATTCCAGCATGTTCATTCCATCAGTATCTCCCATATCAGCGAACATCTGATAAGGAATGAACGTCATCATCTTGATCACGATATCCAATATAAGCATCGCCCATTTTAATGACGATTGTTTTGTTAGTATTATGAATTTCCGTACTTCTATATAAACAATATACTGTACATTTCAGCAT